TTCAAGGGGAGAAGTGTCTGTGTTTTGTTGGCAGGTTCAAAAAGGTCACCTGTTCATCTGACCAGACTGTCTGCCTCTGAACACATGAGATCCAGTGAACAAAGTCACCACACAGCCTTGGTACTCCAGACATTGATCAGAAGTGGACCTGTCAGGACACAGTTGTGTCTGAATACTAAGACAGTTGCCAACAGAAATTTTATGCTGTTATTATGATGTTGTGTCTCTACCAATTTTTTCAGTTATCCTTTGTTTTAAGATTTAGAAGGATGTGAAGAACAACCTGAACATCGAAGCCCTCAGTCACCGATCAGCTCCCAGCTGACATCACAGGAGCAGTGAACATTCCAAGACTGAATTGTGTTAAATCATAGTCTGTTTGTGAGGGAAATTCTGTAGAAGATCTAAGAAAAGTGTAGAGACTCCATCTAACTATATATAAAGCGAATTGTAGTTGTGTGTTTACCCTTTCAGCAAATTGCTTTCACGGTTAGACTACATATATACCAGAGCACATGTGTTAAAGGTAGTTAGATAATAGTTTAAGATAAAGAGTTTAGTCTGTATAGTAATTGTTATATTAGTATAAAGTATAAGCATTCCCCCCCACTTCAAGAGGTAGTGTAAGCATCTTTGAAAGTTCATTTAATGTTAAAGTTTTAGCTGTGAGTTTGCAAGTATGGTGTCATTTACATGGTAAACTGCTTATGGTAATTGTGTTGTATATAGTCCTGACCAACTGTCTGCTAACATCCAAAAGCGACAGAACATATGGGTCACTCTGGCACACTGAACTGGCCAAAGGTCAATGTGTCTGAGCCTAGCCATACCTGGAGATCCTTTCGCACCTGTCTCGTAGGAGTCCCTGAATGGGATCCTCAAGCATTTAAAGGTTTAATTAGTAATGAGACTCAACTGAATCGATTGGCAATGTTGCAAGAGTGCAACACTGTTGGCTTCACATTAAGACAACTTGAAGCCTGTTGGCAAGCAAAAATTACCAAACTTCTTAATATTACCATAGGGCCCCCAGAAGAATTAGATTTGTTAAGTTCCACCAATACATCAAGTGGATGGATAGTGTTTGAACCCCCAACAAAAGCAAATCTAACAAAGTAATGCAGCACTGGGCTGCAGTCAGCCCTATAGCTGATCTCGTTACTACCATTGAAAGTAAAGCCTTTATTAGTGGTGCAATCTCACAGGACAATTACCAAAGCGATTACCTAGTTCCATATTCCTAATCTGTGGAGATAGAGCATGGAATGAGATTCCTGCTAGTCCACATGGAAGACCCTGTTATCTTGGGAAACTCACTTTGTTCCACCCAAGCTTACACGAATTGCTGAATGTAGCTGATAAAATGAAAAACATCAAACAGTCAAAGTGAAGCCTGAATGAATTAAGGCTTAGCAACTCTAAAAAGGCTCGCTTGTTAGACTAAGGAAGAATTGAACTTAACATCCAAAATGTTAAATGAACCTTCAGCCAATGTGAGTAGTATACGTCATGCAGTATTACAAAATTGAGCTGCAATTGACTTTTTGCTCTTAGCACAAGGACATAGTTGTGGGGAGTTTGAAGGCATGTGCTGTTTGAATCTTACTGACCATTCAGCTTCCATCCATAAGCAACTATAACAGCTACAGGATGGGTTACATGCCCTAAAAGAAGATAGTGACCCCATTGGAAGTTGGTTCGCCAGCTGGGGCAGCACTGGATGGTTGAGGTCTCTTGTGCTAGAAGGGGGACAGACTTTACTTATAATGTTAATGGGGATGAAAGTCTAAGTTGTATGTTATCTTGTCTTCATAGAAGTATAAAATGAGTCACATCCAAAGCCTGGTTTGTGCAAAAAGAGAAAGGGGGAATTGTTGATATATTTTATATATTAGTAAAGGCCTGTCTGCACAAACCAGCCTTTGAAATAAGTTGTGATATTAAAGGCTAAAGTCCTTGAAACCTTCCTGCAGAAGAGAGAGTAAAGCAAAACAATATCCTTGTGTATAAGAGAAAAAATGTAAACCTGTGTGTGTTAGCCAATAGTAATTTGCTTAGCCCACGGACCCTGTAAAACCCTATATAAGTGTGCTAAAGACAGAAATAAACGGTGTTCACTTTTACTTCTGTGAAGACTCGTGAATAAGCTGGCAGTTTCTCAATATCCCAGGCAGTTTTAACAGGACTTCTTAAGTTCCTCTGGCTAGATATATACCAAGGAAGAATCTTTGCTATCTGGTGTGATACAACCTTATCAACAGGATTTTGAACTCTCACACAAAAGGTCGTTTGAGAAACTGATTCAGTGGAAGGTCGAGCATGCTCTAGACCCCAATCCCAAGAGGCAAACACAGAAACTGTTTCAAGTGCTCTGCTGAGGCATGATCTAAACACAACAGGGCTTACCATTAAATGATAGAGGTTGGTACATAGATAGATACACACAAAGATAAAATAGTATGATAATATTGGATGTTTTAGGCTGAAAAGCTCCACGAAGCATTAGGAAAGTATACAATACATCCCATTATTTTGTTGTCTTACAAAAATCCAAAGTACAAGAAGTTTGAAAGCATATTTTTAGATGAACTGTTTTAAGAAAGGTATTTTGGTTCGTTTCCATAGCAGTTTATGTATTACATAGTGAGGAGCTGTTGTAGTTGATAGCCTGAAATGTATCTTTTCCCATCTTTTAGTTGTGATTCTCCCCCCACCCCCAGCTTCTCTTTCTCCTGTTTACCTGGCGTCAAGTTACCATGGTTACTGAAGTTTCTCTCCTCAGCCCCACGGCGAGAGGCCGGATAGAGTAAAGAGAGGACCCCGCTGGCATTTCCAGCTGCTTGAAGTTTCTTTAGCCCAGGAAAGCACGGGGTTGGGAGAAGAGAACCCTTCTTTCCAACACAGAAGTTTGTAACTTTTTCCTGTCCCAGAATGCCTCTAAACTATGGAAGCTGAGAGGGCATGCTTACCTTGCCTTCCCTTTCTTTCCCCCCTGTGTTGCCAGGAAACCAAGCCCCCTTCTCTCCCCCTCTGCCCCTCTGTGGAGAATACTCCTACACCTTTGTGGGCATTTGAAGAAGTTGGTGTCTGTTATTTCTTATCTTGGTGTGTGTAACCTTGATTTGTAGAAAGTTTGTAAGATGTACTAACTGAGAAAAATAATTGGTTCCCTCTCTGATGTTCCCTCCCTCCGAGAAACCCTGTTAAAAGAGACCCCCCCAGACCCTAAATCCTTTGTCTCTCGTCCTTTGGATTCCCCTTCACAGAAATAAACTGTGGAATGCAAACCAGAGAGAGAGTCCCCCCCTGATTTCTTTTCTTGCTCTATAGACTTGGATTCTTGAAGAAAATCAGTGAACCCCACAAACATATGCTGGCTCGAAACTCGAGTGAAGAGAAACCTCATCACTGAGCTAGCCGGGCCACACTCGAGAAGATCGAGTCAAGGAGCATATGAAAGTCCTGAATAATAACAAATGAAGCGGGGGAATCCTTGTTTTATCTTCTATCCTTTCTCACAATAGAAACTCACAACCTGTTTAGTGCTCTACTGTTTTATTTACATACCTTCACCCTTCCAGCTCATCAGCTTGAAGCTTACAAAGGCTGATGTCCGAAGATGGGATAGGTGAGATCAACAATGACCTGAGACCTTTTTTACCAAATGATCAGCAACAAAAATTAAACCATCTTCCTCCCTTAAACAGGACAGCTACCTGACGGCTCTCAATCTATGGCTAACAGGAGGCAGCAGAGGTTGTGCAATAAGTAAATTGCTCTAATAATTTAACTGCCTTTCTCAGAGATTTATCAATTCTTTTACTGAAAAAATAATTTCTGAGTAAGGATGAGAGTCAAGTACAGAGAGAGCGTGCATTTAAAATTTTCAGTGATACCTGTACCAGACTTCTCTTCTCCACAACGTTCCTCACTTTAACATTCATATAAATACTTTTTTAATTACTGTTTCTAAGATGTTTGAGGTGATGTATGCAACCAGTGCAGTTCTGCCAATGCCAGCAGACTACATGCTTACTCACTAAGGAATTTCCTGAGCATGAAAAAGCCTGGAAGGGAAAGTTCTACAGTGGGATATATCCACTGAGTTGTTTGTGCTGAGGGTGAGGGGGATGAAGCACTGGCAAGCTAGCATCATGGCACAGTTTTGACAAATAAGCAATAGGAGATCTTGATCTCAGTTTACCTTTACATGCCAGGCTAAAAGGTGCCAGTACAGGCACAGATTTATGTGCATGCCATATGCCCCTGATTAGCAGTGTCTCTGACACGGCCAGGGGAAGCAGCTGGGGCTGGTAACAGCTTCACTTATTCAATTTTAGTTGACTGCTGTGTGTTTGTCAGATCCCTCAGAGCTGCCTTCCTTCTGTTTAACTTGTGCCAAAAGCTGTGCTGGTCCCATTAACCACCGGGAACAAACAAGAAAGAAGTACCTGTCAGCTACATGTACAGAACAAGCTTTATATTGATGTCTGAACTACATGTTAGATACAATCTGCACTGAATTACAAGATCGTAAGACCCATGAGCACCATTCAAGCTGCAAAACCAGTGAAATGAAACCTATTCACACAATTATGCATTAAAGGATGCTTTGATTTAGAACTTATTTGCGTAATTTTCATATCCTGTGTTTGTATTTAGTGTTTAGATGTCTCTTGGAGAGCCCTATGGAAATGCCCATATGTTTCAGCAAGATCAAAACTACACCACTAGCTGATTACTGAACAACTATGATACAATGCTTAAATGGTATGCAATCAATCAAACTGTTCCTAAGGAAACAGAACAATGAGTTACAACAGTATTTTATGCATTTTTAACATTTAACAGCAACAAATGACTTAATTGAAAGCTTTAGTAAAATGGGTCCGGCATATATCCATGATGTGTCTTTTAATTTTTTTACAGCACGCATAGATAATTATTGATGATAAATAGCAGACAGCAACACTGCTGGAAAAAGGATTTATAAATCTTACCTCTGCTTTTATTTTATTGTCTCCGAAACAGAGGTGTTGTAAGTAGGCTGCAGCATTCGACTGTACTGAGGGAAACTGATGCTGTAACATCTGTATAACTTCTGGAAGCTCTGGATCCCGCCACCCAAACTCTCTGTGCAAAAGCAAATACAAAGGATTCATCAAAATTTCTGCTATTAGTGGATAAATGTGCCAACAGTTAGGTCAACAAAGAAGACAGAAATGTCTAAATGAAATCTTTTCCCCCCATTATTATCAAAGCAAATATTAAAATCAAATATGAAGCTATTATTCATTTTATACTTCTCTGGAAAAAGAACTGTACAAAGTATAACTTTCCAGTTATATAACTATAACTGTGGAATTAGTTCTCTAACGGATAGTTTCCTAAATAAAAAGGCTATATGAAATCTTTAATGTAAGAAAAGAAAGAAAATACATGCTCATATTACCACAAAAGGTTTGCTATGAAATTCTAATTTGTAAAAAAGTCCTTTTTGCTTACTGCTCTCTCTACACAATACCAATCACTATCTTATATAGAGAGCAATGACCAATTTTGTCTTTGTTTGTTTGGGTTTGTTTTCAGATGCAGTCAATGTAAAACTCTTACACATTTCTGGCCCTACTTGAGCACTCAAGTCTTTGCACTTCAATCCTACAAAACATGAAATGCCATTAGCATCACATAAAAAAACTGAATCCAAGTATGCTGAACTAGTCCCAGTACATATTATGCAGCTTCCAGACCTTAACTTAAAATCAGTCTGTCACTTCAGGTGAATTTTTTCTATTCTGGGTTTATGGGTAAAAATCATCCATAGAAATGCCTTTGGAATTTGTGTCCCTAAAACCAGAAAGGCACGCAGCCTCTGTGCATGATATACTTAGTTATCATATGCCTTTTCCCCAAGAGCTTATTTTTTGTGCCATATAATACATGTTTAAGCTACAAGTAGCTTAAACATGTATTAGTAGCTACATGTTTAAGCTACAAGAAGGAGGTTAGGAAAAAGAGTAGCTTGCAAAAGAGTTGCAGTTACCTCTGTTGCAGTTACCATGGTCATCTGGGACCTCATTGCCAAAAAAATCCCCTGGTAGACCTGTTGCAGAGTCCAGCTATAATATTTGGACAAAATAATCCTGATCACCAGACTCCTTCCTAAATTATAGGGATTTTTGTGCACTGAGGCCACTCTGGGAATTCACAGCATCTCTCCAATCTGTCCCAAGCACACTTTAAATAAAACAATTCTCCACAACGTTTCAGGGAAGGAAGACTCATTTCACAATAATAATGAATTTCTACAGAACAGAGAGATTGTCTGTTCTCATATGTGATGTTTGCAAGATTGCAAGTTGTCATTACAGTTGTTTTTTATGGAGATTCAGAATATGAATATGAGATGTAAAAAAACCACTCAGAATTTCATTGGTTATTTCTCTTCTGAAAAAACTAAGTTAACTCATGAATATTAGAATTCACATTAAATATTTAATACAGTGAAACCATAAAGATGTAGTAATAAATCACATATGGACTATTCCATTGAATTTTTAGGTGATGTAGACTGTTGGAAATCTCTGCAAGGGCCATCTGCAGAGGTTCAAAAAGGTTTTAACATTTAATTGATATTCTGAAAAATCAGAGATCATTGTAAAAAGTATCAGGGAAGGCTACAGACTTCAATACCTGAAGATTGTTAGCATCACATTTCCAGCTTACCATGACTCCATTAGCAGGTAAAGAGGAAGGGATTCTCTCGTTAAGCCCACCTTTTTTAATGTTTAAATTGCTAGAGATCATAGAAACAATGCTATCTGGCAGGGTAGCTTCCTCTTCTATCTTCCTTTCAATTAACAATGTTAACACTTCCTAACAGGTTCTTCAAACCTATTAGATCTGTATTCTATAGAAACAGCTCAAATCAAATCAAAGTCATCTTCCAGATTTTTTGTTTAAATAAAAATAAGAAATGAAAGTAAAATCCAATAATCTCACTGAAAACAAATTAATTATCCTACCTTCACTTCTAATTTATTCTCATTTTCAATCCTAGATGCCAAGTGCAGGTGTGGGTATTTTGGAGATCATGCAAAATACCAGAAGAAAACAGCTTGAATGACAAGAGAACAAGGGGGAACACTTGAAATGAGTTGTTTACAGCAAATAACTACATGTCGAAGTGTGGGAACTTATACCAACAAATTCTCTCCAAAAGGAAATTTCCTCCTTCTCAACACGTGTATTACTTAATCCAACCAAGAAATAAACCAACCAAAATGCAACTAAACAAAAGGCCTGTTATGTGCAGGAGTACAGGGCTCTAACCATCAGCTCAGGTTTTTTTTCCTCATGGCTTGGAATCCAGAACAGAACAGGCTATGAGGGGGAAAAAGGAAAAAGGTCCCTTCGTCAAAGGGACAGTTAATTGTTCTGAGGAACCTGCAGTCTTCACAAGGTACTTAAGTATTAAAATAAGGCTCTCCCTACTTTTACCCCTGATCTCCCAAAAAAGTCAGCATACGACTCAGATATAAATACTTGCTGCAAATGGATGTGTGCACATTGGATGTAAGTAGAAAATTAATTCAGACAAGAAACCCTTAGCACCGAATACTGAGTTCGTTATGTAACCAGTTTTTGGAGAGATAATGAACAAAGCAGGAAAAGAAGTTTAAAAATTTAGGCCTAGTATGCACTGTCATTTTAAGCAGATGGTCTCTAAGATGTACTTTTAGTAGCTTCTAAATGAAATACAGTAGCTACATAAACAAAAACTTCTGTCAACAGTTAGGGCTGCATGAATAATTGTGATGATTTCAGCAGCCTTCAGGGCAAGAAAGTATTTTCTAGGGGTTTAAATTTTTCATTTGTTTTATGTAAGTGTTTTATAGGTGGAAAAAAGTGAGAATGAGAAAGAGGATTTCTTTTTAAGGACAGCAAGTTTGCAGTTCTATAAACATTTATTTTAAAAATTTAAATATGGGTTTATTTTATTTTTTTTTAAATTTAGCTTTATTATGAAAAGTTAGAAAGGCTACTTAATGAAGCCTGGAGAAGGAAGGAGGACAGGTGTTCCTTAAAGACATAGGCACAGAACGCATGTGGAATAATTTGCATGGATGTGGAAGAAACATCCAGGCCATGCCTCCAAGCATACCTACCTAAATGGCAAAAAATATGTATTACAATAGAGAGCCAAAGAAAAAGTAACACCTAGGAGGAGAGAGCTGGAATTAAGCGATCTTTTACTCCCTACCAATGAAAAGTAGTAGGGCTGGTATTTGACAGAGATAGATTAAAGGAAAGTAGAAGGTTAATGAAAATGCAATCTACCTTGATTTCTGTGAAACATCTGATACTGTGCCACATGCAAATTAACAAAATTCACACTTAGTAAAATTATAAAGTAGAATTAAGCAGAATTTGAAATCATAGTGAACATCCTAAACAAACACTATCTAAACCTGTGTCCCTTATTAAAACATCACCACACTCACAAAATCTGAGTGAGGCAATCCACACAGATGGTGAAACAAGACAGAAGGCTGAAGTAAATCTGAGGAAGTGTGTGGCATTTTGAGAATGCTAACAAAGTATCTTGTGGCGTGTGACAGCTGTAGCTGTACTACAGCTGCACAGATAATTTGATTTCACAGACCCCAGCTCCACCAGCCTAGCACCTTAGAAGAGCTGAAGTAAACAAATCCCCTGGCATGTTACTGATAGGTTAGATTCAAGTTCACACAGGGGACCCCAGCCAATCCCTTCGGAGCACAGATGCACCCATATCATTGCCCAGTGAGCTGGGTGGAGTTGAGACCCTTAGCTAATCACCTATATAACCATGGGAAATTTAAAGCACCTATAAAAGGGGGTTCCCAATAATAAAATTTGGCTGTTGCTGCACGAACTCGGTGTGTTCTTGTCACTTGTCTGTCTATGAAACTGTGACAGTGTGGTGGACCCAAAAATGAAGAGTAAGGCAATAGCTGTAAATGCAAGATCTTTCGCTAAACTGCCACTTGCCATGATTTCCTTGGAGTAAGAACACTAATCCATTTAGGTCAGCCAAAGACTTCTGGTGGCAGTGTGAGTTTTTCCAGAAGAGAATCCCAGCTATGCAAGAACTTCCAGTTTGTCTGGAAAGCAGTATTTGCAATAAACTCCAAATATTTTGGCAGGCTGTAAAAGTTCATTTTTTTCTAGGAAGCATCCTCACCTGGGCAGACTGACCAGAGCACACCAAGGTGTTCCAACCTTCTTTCTTTGATGGAAACTGTGCTCTAGGATTATAGGATTGATCTAATTTTGAATCCTGCAGAAGGTTTTAGCTTGGAGTGGTGACTAAGGCAGATGTTCCATGGATTACACCAGACTACTGCCACAGGAGTGGAAGAGAACCCAAAGGGGAACACTAAGCTCTGTGTAAACTGGCTATATATATGCCTGGAGTTATCACAAAAGGCTACATCTTATTATAAACAACTGAAAAGAATCAACAAGGAGTTCTACACGAGACACAGCAATGCTGACATAAAAGCAGTAGCACCTCAAAATCCAGGCTGACTTGGGTACTGCAAGTAATGCACTAAAAACATGCAAAAAAGGTCCTGTTCCTGCTATCGAACCACATACATGTGCCAGAAAGTAATAAAAGAGATGCAAACTTAAGAGATTGTAATACAGCTGAGTGCATTGGCTCTGTGGGTTCACTTAGAGGTGCTGCTGAACACAGGATGTGCTGCATCTGAATATTTGCTTTAAGTATGCCATAATTTTCTTCCTCAGCTACTGAAAATGCTGATGGTACACAGAAAAGCAAAACCAAAAATCTTGTTACATATATATCTGCACTGATTTTAAAAAGGCTACTAAATGAGTTTTTAAAACACAGGTCTCCAGCTGGTAACTAAGCATTCTGATTGCATCTACAAACCATTGGAAGAGCAGGTGTGATGGTTCTGTCTACTCTTCAGCCATTGGTCACTGTGAATCTCATGAGAGCTTGGGTTCTTATTTCTGATTTATGTTATTAGAGCAGAACATTCACATCTGATCCAGCAGTTGGCACAGGCAAGCACTGACATCTAGAGCTATTCCTGTCTCTGCAGCATTCCCCAAAGGCA